GAGAGGTCAGCTGTTGCAGGGAGCTGCAGCGAAGCGGTGCAGAGAGATGTGCAGGGGCAACGATGCAAGCCTCGCGTACACTCTTAATTCTGTTTTCGGTGTGTGTGTGTGTGTGCGCGCGCGTGTGCGTGTGTGTGCTTTTACGGGACGGGAGTGTCCGTGTTTGTGGACTTATTTAAAGCCAGCAGCTCTGGGGACTTTGGGAACTCGTCTCCTCCTCGCGTGTTATCAACATGCCATTTTTTTTCCTTCTTCTTCTTCTTCTAACGGCGCACCGAGTGACAGGGTACACAAACCAGCCGCTGCCTCTCTGAAGAGACCCTCGTCCCAGAATAGCTCCCGGCCGGCCCGCTTTATCTCACTGATGCCCAAGAAAAGTTGCAGCCATCACGGCAACACCTCTCCCGCCTGCCACGGCGACAGATAACGGCGTCAACCGGGATCACACGCCCCTCCGCTCCCTCCGCCACGCCACTCAACCAACTGTTCACAACGTTTTTCACAACTTGTCATGCCACAAACACAAGCAATGTTTTTTTTGTTTAATCAGTATGCAATGTACGCAAAGCATAAGAGTGAAAAGGAAGAAAACTGAAACAAAATAAACGAAAATCTAAAAAGTGTGGCGCACATTTGTAACCCTTCTCAGTTAGATGCCTCTAAATAAAATCAAGTAGAAGTCATAAACAGCAACTGTGTGTAAATTACTCTCAGTAGAAATGCAGCTGTTCTATATTTCTGTTTTGTTTTAGTTAACAAACAGCACAATGAAGACAAAGCAGACGAGCTTAGAGGAAATGTAGTGGAGGAGTTTAAAAGGGTTAGCTTATAAAACAACATCCCACGTTTCAAACCAGTCGTCACACCTCCTGACCACTGGAACATTATTAAGAAACATAACCTAATGAGCTTTGGCAACTTTATTAGTTTTTGTTGTTTTCTTAAGCTGCTTCATAAATGCATTGGTTACATAGAGCCTGAGTCATTACAACCCTAACCCTGCATTTGTTCAGAGACAGGATGACAATAAAAGCACTGCGAGTCGTGACTGTGAAATGAAAATTGAGCAGGACCGTTTGATTTTAACAACATGTCTGACTTTAAAATATTTACTTCAAAGCTTAAAAAAGATGAACCAGAACTGAACTGGTTTTTAAATGTTGTGTTTGTTTTTACTCAGAAGTTTTAAATATGTTAAATTTTTCCACTAACCTTTTTTTTCTAGCTCTAGAGTTTTTAAATTTGAACATTCAGTGTTAATGTACTGATGAAATGTTTGTTACCGTGTGGGCGCGCCTTTTGCGGCAGCCATCTTGGGTCCTTGCTAAACAGGAAGCCCACCTCAAACCCGGCTCTTTTACAGGAAGTACGCAGCTAAGAGCCGCAGTTTGATTGGTTTAAAAGTTTAAGTAATTTAAAGAATGAAATGACTTGTAAATTCTAGATCTTCATACATAAAATGTTTGTTTGATATTTTATTATTGACAAATAATTGTTAATTATATAAATATGTGAAGGTAAACTTTGTTTCCTGTTTCCCACTCTGGAAGGCCGAGGTGATTGGCCAGTTTGAATTCAGAAGGCGGGGCTTGACATGTGGACCGCTGGATGGAAGATTGTTGGTCGATCTTTTGGATAATCTGTGGAGGGAGCTAAAAGATCAGGCCTGGGAAACAAATCGGCAAAATACCACGGAAACAGACAAAAGGACAATAAGAAACTACAAGAAGAGGTTCGATGCTATAATGCAAAAAAAAAAATTACATGTGGAAAACTATGCATATCATTCTAAACAATCAAATAATTTTTTTTTAATATAAGGTGAATTAAAAATATTTTTATGTTCTTCTGAGTGATGTGTGTCTCATTTCTAATCAGAAACAAACTTTGAGGTTGAAGGAAAATGAGTTTGACTCTAAATCTGCCAGAGCTTTGAAACGTCTGAGGCTTAACTCTCTGGGTTTTATGTTTCAGAATGACCCAGTGAATATTAAGCAAGACCTCAAAACTGATCCTCTCAGATGCCCTTCATCAAATCTGCTTGAATCCAAACCGCTTCGGGGGGAAAAAAACTCAAAATCTTACAAAGTATTTGTGTTTAGTTTATAGTGAAAATATCTCAGCAGGCTTTAAAAGAGACAAAATTAACTTACAAGTAACTTTTTGTAAGATTTCTTTGCTTTAAGTCAACAATTCATCAATTATTGATGAATTATTGACTTATTTCATCAAGTCAATAATGTCAATAATGACTTAATATCAAGTCAATAAGTCATTTTTCTTATTATAAGAAAAATGACTTATAATAAGTGAAACAATCTGCCAGTGGAACTAGTAATTTTTATCATCGATATTAAGGAATTATGGCCTTAAACCCCACTCCTATATTTTGCTAAAAACTTTCTTGTAAGTTAGTTTTGTCTTATTTCAAGTGTAAGACATTTGCACTAGAAGCAGAATGTGGTTCTATAAAGTGTAACCAAATACTAAGTTTCGCCACACTTTCCATATTTTTTAATTGTAAAGGACAAAATGAGAAAAAGGAAATCATGCACCTTTAATTTGTTACACTTATCAGCTATCCTCTATGTTTGTTGGTCTATCAAAGAACGGCCTAATAAAACATCAAAGCTTATGGTCTTTTGCTAGGTCGTGTGTGTGTGTGTGTGTGTGTGTGTGTGTGTGTGTGTGTGTGTGTGTGTTGTGAAGCTCGTTTGGGACCAATTTACAGAACCAATCAGGAATGCTGGACTCTGGCTTTGTCTATTCTGAGAACCTCTGGTCCTCTTCCCTCCCACTCCCACCCCCCTCCCCCCCTACGCCGCGCTTAAGGTCACAACAAATCACCCAACACACACATTTACGTTAACTATGAACTCAAACGTAACCCTCTACTCTATCGAAGCAAAGTTTCTTCTGATTTATCAATCCAACATGGCTGCCGTCTTTCTTTCTTTGGTTCTGCTGGACCAAAGCAGAACAAACATGCTGTATTATAAGAGGAACAAGGTAATAAATTCCCCTGCGGATGAGTGGAAACTGGGTGTTTTTGTGGTGTTGGTTTCACCTCATAGTGATTCTGGAGCCAGCGCTTCATGCGCCATGTTTTTCTCTCTATTAATAAAAGCCCGTGTATTTATAGTAGCGCGTTTAATGCCACGCAGCTCCTGAAATAATCTCTCCTAAGGTTGCGGCCGCACAATAGCGCACATCCCTGGCAGCCCCTGACATCACCGACCTGCCGCAGCGCGGCTCAGAGGGCAGTGGCTCCTCAGCATCAAAGTCAAAGGAGCCCCGGTGAGCTCATGTTTGAGTTTCAGAGCCAGCCCAGCCCGAACCGACCTCCTCTAAGTCTCCGGCTCTGGACGCAAATCATTGTCTAAAAAAATGAGAATGATGCTCTGTCAGAGTGAAGAAAGAAAAAAGATAAATCCTCCTCTGCTGAGATGCTCCCAGCTTTCCCCCCTCCAACTGCCCCTCCAACACACACACGCGGGCGCACACACACACACGCACACACCCCGACTCCCCCTTTTCAGTGTGTACAGTGCATGAAATATCTGGGATACAAAAATAGCCGGCTTGGGTTTAGCGCTATGACAAAAACGTAGCTTTCCTTTTGTGTCAATTGAGACGAAGGCTCCGCACCAATGGGCTGCGGAGGAGGTGGCATATGCTAATGAGGGACAGATGTCCAATGATCGTGACCTTGAGGGAGCGGGCTATAAAGCGGGACACATCTGAGGGAGGTTTCACTGAGTAGCGGCCTTGCTGAGGTCAGCGCGCTGCGTCTTTGGCGCTGTGTGGACGCTTTGGGCTTTTTTCTTTCTTTTTTTTTTTGCGCGCAGATTGGCCGCACTTATAAGAAACTTCAGCAGAATACGCAGCCGTTTTAGATTTTTCTTTTAATCTTAGTCCATATATTTGCATGTATTTTTATAGCACAGTCTCATTTGGTGATGACAGAGATTAATTCAAAAAACAAACAAACAAACAAAAACGGCCAAGCAAGCAACGCGTTCCAGAAACCCAAGGCCCGAGCGCAAAGATTTGTTTTCCCAACCGAAAGGATTTCCACAAGTCGTCTCCACCTGATCTCTAATGTCGCGCTGTGAGGTGAAGGAGTTTGAGGGGTTGGGTGGGTGTGTGTGTGGGGGGGGGGGAAAGGGGGAGAAGCTGTGCCGCTTTTACGCACGGCTGAAGTGGAGCTGCTGGTGGCGCGCCTCCCACGGTGGGCCCCGTACAGGCAAGGCCTTGTTAGATTTGCACGGCATGTGTGTGGAAAAATGAGAGAGTTTGGGTCTGACATGAGCTTTTAGAGATTTGTGAAATTCGTCAATGTTCAAATGCAAACTTGAAATCTGATAACATGCAAAGAGATTAAAGAGAAGTAGGACAGAATTAGAAATCAAACTTCTGCTTGTTTTAAGGCAAAATACCATAATTGTGTGCATTTATATGATTTAAATATATCCGATTTATTTTTTTACATAGATTAACTTATTTTTATGATATAATAATAATTTTATTTCATTTCATGATGTTTTTATGCTGTAAAGCACTTTCAACTGCCTTGGTGCTGACTTATTTATTGAATCGTGGCATTAAATTAGAAGTAAACCTCTTAAACCATTAAATATATTTTCTAATGACAGTGGAAAATATAACAACACTCTGCTGTGATTTTTTAGGTTAAACAAGTCTGGAACCAGAGGAACTGATTGGATGAGCCTTCATCCTGGTCATCCTGGTCGTCTCTGCTCAGCTTCCTGTGTGATCGCTTCATTCGGTTCGCAGCAGAGGAAGTCTGAACGCGGAGCAGCTCAAGACGCTCCATGTGAGTGAAAACTGCCTCCATGTTTCCTTCAGAAGCAGGATTAAATAATAAGAGGTCAGGTGTGAGCTGGACTCAGGACGGGGTTACGGGTAAGGTAGGACAATAAATCTCATGCCACGTTCCTCCTCAGGCCTCCTCCCATCTCTGATCCCCACCGTTGTCATGGCGAATCCTAGCAAACCAAACCCGGACTCACAGAGACGATCAGTGCTCCGACCCTTGCAGTCGATTTCTGTCAGGATTTTCTCTGCAGTGAGTACAAACGTACACTTAAGTACCAGGCGTATGCATGGAAACACACACACACACACACACACACACACACACACACACACACACACACACACAGAACATGTACATGTGGAAACCACATCTACAGCAGCTTCTTCCATTTCTGTTTGATTTAGAAAGTGAAAAAATAAACCCAAGTGTTAAAGAGCTGACCTCATAAAGTCTCATAAAGTCAAGATTTTATCGTTTTCTATGTTTTTTGAGAGGATCTGCTCTGACTCCGTGTGTCAACCAGACCCGCCATAAGCCAACAGAACGGGATGCACAGAAAATGTAGATTAGAACGCTACATGTTATTTCTAGGATGAGATATTTATATTAATAGATAAAAAAAACATGGTGGTTGGTAGAACCAGACTGTATCAATATAAATATATCAGTGGAGCTGTGGTCCAGTGAATGTTTGTCTTTGCACATTTTCCTTTAAAATAAGTTTCTTTCTAACTTTTTTTGGCTTATTTTCGCTATTTTGAGACTCCCATTGTACTTCTGGTGGTCTTGTATTCGGTTTTCATGAAGCCGGTTGTATCAAACCTTTACACGCTAAACACAGAGAGCAAAGAAAAGAAGGACGCGGCCGGCCAGCTCTGTCCATTACATCGTGTGTTTCTGCAGTTTTTTTAAATGTTTGAATGTCATTTTATCCTTCAGAAATAATAATCCTTTTATTATCATCCCTCTTTCCGCTTGTATGTTTTTGTTTTTTGGCGGTTTTCTTTCATCGTTCATTTTTAAAACACCTCATTTTATAGATCGACATTCTTACATTGGAGCTTTTAATTTGTTCTCTCACGGCCTTCCTTTTTGTTCCTGCTTTTAATCAGAACTCCTTCAGATTAAAAATAATTCTGATTCTCGTCTTCATCTTACAGCAAAGCTTAGTAACTAAATTAGAGGAGCAATTTAAACCGCCTCAATTGGCAATTATTGGAAGATGGCAGAATAAAATGGAAATAATACAATGCAGTTTTTATTAAAGTGTTAAAATTTTAAATTTGAATGAAGTAGAGAAGCTTATCAGGACCAGATTAATAAAACAAGACATTTGCCATTCACAACATATTAAAAAAAAGGAAATAAAACAAAATATGATATTTTATACGATCCCTGAAAGGTGGCCATGTTGGGTGTCTATCAACCCAGCAGGTCGAACTGAACAAAAATCACTTTGTCTCAGCACTCTGTAACCTTCCCATAAAGATGTAATAGAAAATTGTTCCCTATAACATAAAAAGAGTTTTCTCATCTGGAGAACAATCAGAGATATCAAGTCTGGGTATTCCCCAAGCAAACCCACTTCTAGACCGCTATTGTTATCAGTATTTGAGTTTTTACATTTTATCCAGCATGAACTAACCCCCAAAATCTAGATAAAAAACAAATGAAACCTCATCTATTCTTACCTCCGTTTTTCTTTCTTTTCAAGGAGGACGTGGCAGACTGGCTTGTTGAAGTTCTTCGTGAAAGCAGCAGCGTCCACGTGAGTGACGGCCGCGGTCTCTGCACGTAACAGGAAGTCAGCCTGAAACCTCGAAGGAGAGGCGGCTAACGCGGGATCTTCACCGTGAGTTTATTTATATCGGAATTACCTGGCTAATAAATAGCAATGTAAATATGTTAAAGCTCCTTTTTTACGTGGTAAATTGTGATCTTTTTGAATCTACCTTTTCTGGTTCAAATCAATAATACACTGATCTGAGCTGCTCCAGCAGAACAGAAAAGTATCTATGGTCAAAATTAAAATGAACAAAATGAAGTTATTTTTATTTTTTATTTAAAAATGGATCCAATTCCAATTATTTTGCCTTTACAGGAACCAGATATTTCTGGAGGAATCAAAGGAAGTCAAAATGATCAGTTCCTCTCTCGCAGCGTCTGCCCCAAAGACCGGCAGATGGAAGAAGATCTGTGAAGGAGGAGTTCATTTTCTTTTACTTTGACAAGGTTAGCCTGATGCGTGTTACGCTTCAGTTTTTAGATGAACTTTACATCTCGTCAGTATTTTTGGGTTTAAGTGGGGAATCGTGAGCAGCAGTCGGATGGACCGGAGGCAGTTAAGACTTGCAGTGATGTTTAGGGCAATGATCACATGAACATCACTTTAAGTCTGTGCTGGCTCCGTTCCGAAACGTCCAGGATCCCAGTCGGTGGCCGACAAAAATAAGGATAACCCGGGGATTCAAATGATCTTGTTACAGTTTGTAAAGTTTTTTTTTCTTGCCTAAAGAAGATATTTTACTCACCTTGTTTCACTTTTGTTCATTTGCAATGATTTCTCTTTCTTCTTGCAGAAAAACAATTGGACTCAGCAGCCGTCCTCTCCGGGTGGCGACATCAGCCAGCTGCACACAGTCAAGGTGAGACGGTGTGTGAAGCTCAAATTCATACATCTGACATTCCCAATAAGTAACAGCTTAATCTACGACAATGGTAAACTTGAAACAAATGCAATTATAAAGCCTGAAATGTTGGCAGAGATCAGAACCTTTTCTGGATGAGACCGATTTCCATTTTCTTTGAGGTCTGAGAAGCCAAGACCAGTTTTGACTGATGCCAATATTTTTTCATCCAAGGAAAAATGAGGGAATTATAACATTACCGCAACTCATTCATCAACGTATATGTCTCTGTTAATAATAATGATAATATTACATTTTAAATTTTACTCAATTTTAATGAATTTCATGAAAAGGGTAAAAGTCAGATTTTCTAGGATCTCATTGGCAGATAATTGATGCATCTCCAATTTAAATAAGCAGCAAAATTTGCTAAAACGATATCCGAGTTCAATAAATAAATCATCAGTAAGGCATATTAACTAAAATAAATGTTAATATTTGTATTCTGACATATTTAGTTTTGCATTGCCAATTTTCAACAATCTCTGCAGAGAAAATAAGGTTTGAATCAGTTCAGTGTAATTTATTCGCAAAAAAGTTTAACTCTCCCCAGCAAACAAACAACAATGGACTAAATCTGAGTAAATAGCATTCTCACATTTGATTTAGAGGCTAAACGACTGACTTATCTTATCTATCTTATTTTTTTGTCCGTTTTGTTGTCAGAATTATTTCCTCATAGCTTTACAAATATCTTCAGGGTAACTTGACAGGGACCTTGAGGAGCTCCACAATACAAATTAAGATGACAGAGATGATAGACATGAATGTTTTCCCACCCTTTGATTTAAAATCTCTTGATCGCTGACGTTCCCATGCAGAGGAAAGTCCTTGACCCGCTGGCTCAGGGGCGGGATGCCCCCCTGCCCCCCGTTGCAGTTGTTTCCCTGAACAGGTTTAATAACACCGCGAAACACCACGAGCCCTCCGTGATACTCTACACCTTTGCATTCAGTCTCCCGCTGAAGAATGACCGGTATGCAAGGGCAATGTCATCGGCGTGTGTGAGGCATGTGCTTGCCCTTGTATGGTTACCCGGCGTGTGTGTGGCCCCGCCGTTAATAAGATCCCCCCTCTGCACCCTCCAGGTCCCATTCACACACGTTACGCTCGCAGGTTTCTGTCCATTCTTTTCCTCCGCTTTTCTAATTTAGACAATGCGGACGGTGTCCTCAGGGCCAGGTGGTGACATGTGTCAAGCAGCAGCTGCTTGGGGCCCTCCCTAAAAATACTAACCCCTCCCTGGATGCCCCGATGGCCCCTTTTGTCCACAGCGCCTGTATTTCTGAGCGGCCACATTGATGGGATGAGTGGTGGGTGACGGAGGATTAAAGCCGCCCGTCCGACAGAGGGCTTTGGTTCCTAAATAACCACAAACTCTCACCTTTGAGGGGCGAGCGGTGCAGAGCCATGTTAGAAATGCAATCAGCTCCCCAAGCGCGCACACACACACACACACACACACACACACACGCGCACACACACGCACACACACTCTCCAGCCCTCAATGTGAGGTTCTTGACCAATCTGCTTTGGGTTCCTATTTAGGAACTGTGAGAGCCCTTCCAGCAGGGACCAACTCAACCTGGCAACCCTGTTTGTCTTCACATAAAACCAGCTATGGATGTGTGACTTCATGTGTAGGATTAGATATGACGGAGCGGGTCGCAGCGGAGCGGGAGCCAAAAATCGGGCACCAAGGAGAAGGCAATAAATAAACGGGGAAGTCCCCGGATAAAAATTTCTCACCTCTTGCTCCCAGCTTCTTAAACCGAACATGAAATTACCTTAACAGCCTCATTAGAGATTACGAAACCGTTCTCACAGACACACCTGGTTTTAGTTGCAACCCCGGTCAGGCGGTTCCACAAACTCATCACTGGCATGGAAGGCATCTAATTGGGGATTTTTTTTTTTGTTACCGGTTCAAACCTTTTGCTGCGAGGGTCAGAATGGTCACTCGCAGGCTACAAAAATCTATTTTTAGAGTGGAAAACTAAAATCTTCTCGACAGTACAATATATTAAGCATGGAAGGTGTTAATAAAACATATAAAGTTGCCTAATTTTTGTACAGAATGAATCTGTAAACCATTGTTGATCTGAAACGTAAAGAAGATGTTGCGCTGTTGCCAAACTCACAGACAGGCATGTAACGTTCACATTTTTGCAGGCCGATTCTTTGCGTTTTTGGGCTCCAAAAATAGAAACAGAAAAATAAATGCCCCCCCGGTTGCCCTTCTACAACCTGTGTACTTTTAATTCGAATTGAGTTCAAGATCATTCTAAAAGCGTTACGTTTGCCTCCTGTAATCTTCATCCCATTGGAACGATCAGTGGGTTCAAGTTTCCATCGGACAGCCTTTGATTTTAGGAGGAGTTGAAGAATCTGGAGGTAATTTCTCTCCGTTATTCCACCAATTACCCACCGTAAGCTAAAGGGCCAACAGTAGGATGCCATCGCCACAATGCTTGACGATTTGAAGAGGGCCTGTTGGTTTGAAAGTCTCGCATTGACTTGTCATTGTATCAAGATAGTTGAATCTTTGACACCTCTGACCATAAAGTTGTTCTCCAGAAGGTTGATGTTTTTTTTTTTGGTCCTTCTTCATTTAATGTTAAATTTTCTGGCCAGTTTATAGTTAGCTTTAGCCTTGGAGATTCCGGGGCTCTTCTTGAACACCCAAAATAATTTCTTCTGAATTTTAACTTTACGAAGAAAAAAAAAAAAAAGTAAGTCACAGAAGTTGCAAGATGTACTTTAAGTCTATCCCAGGGGTGGGCAGGTCCAGGCCTGGAGGGCCTGAGATAGTTAGATGTATCTCAACTTCAACACACCTGAGTCAAATAATGAGGCCGTTAGCAGGACTCTGGAGAACCTGACTGCACTGAGGAGGTGATTCAGCTGTTGGATCCAGGACCAGGATTGCCCATCCCTGGTCTATCCTGATGAAATGTCATCTCAGATGCATCATTAACATCTCAAAATTCGTACAACAAAGTTTAATGCACTAAAACTTCAAAATTTAGAGGAACAAACATCCCAGTGGCCTCAGTAAATCTCCTTCTACGTTATTACCATTATATTAATGTATTTTTAATTTTAAGCAGACCTGAAAACTAAAAGAGCTCAAATTCCCTTCCACACTTGGTGCTAGAAAGTTTTATTTAAATCCTCCTTCAACTCTTATTTTTATTTCCTTATTTTCAGAAATTTTTGGACCTTCTGCTGTGTCTCCAAACAAAATAAAACCTAAACCGTCTGCTGACAACCGCTGCAACTGAGAACGAGCTAATCTCTCTGAAGGAGGAAGGAGGCGGAAAGCCAGAGGACGCTCCTGAGGTCGAGTGGAAAAAGCTGCAGGAGGCGGCAGGTCGTCCTGAGAGCCGCTAATCAACGCTAATACCTCAGCAGGAAGCAGCACGGTCCCAGAGAGGACGATAAGGAGATATCTAGGATAGGAACTGGATGGGTGTGTAGACTTTCATCATAGTGACTGAAAATTTAAATCAATTTGGCTGCTCCAACTGGAGACCCCTTTGTGGTGATGCAGAGAGACAGCATGCTAGCTTTTGAGTCTAAGGAACTGTGCAAGCATTTATTGTATAGTTTATCATTTGTCATGATAAATTTCTTAGAATAACTTTGATTTATTGTCATAATAAATTCTAATTATATGCAGTGTTACTTTTACCATTATTTGTTTTATGAGAGTAGCAATACATATCAATAAATTTCAAAATGTGATTAAATGTGGTTAGTGTGTGGTGTTAAATACAAATCACTTCTTTATGTGACTGGTGTCCTAAAGAAGCATTACAAACAACTTGTTTTTCCAAGTGCAGGATTTGTGTTTTTGACAATATGATAATAGCTTATCGTTATTATCAGAATAGTACCACCAAATATTGTGACAAAACTTTAATTCCATATCGCCCATCACTATAGCTCAGCATATGCTAAGTTAAAAGCTAACCGCAGTTTAGCTTTTGTTACAGGATTTGTTTTAGGCCCTCGTGGCCGAGACTCGAACCGGAACTGGAACCTGTGAAGGCTGCGTCATAAGACCTCCATTCACGGCTCTATCCCTCTGTCCAAATTAAGACAAATATTTTAGCCAAAAGCTTCATACTGGTTCGCCCTCCAAAGGAAAATAAAAATAAAAAATAAAAAAAACAAGCACGCAACCAAACAAAAAAACAGAAAGAGCAAATAAATAACTAAAAACCAGCAATTCCAGTGTGAGCCTTATGATGCTAAAGACACGGCTAGCTTCCTGTGTGCGCGGTGGCCCCTAGCAGCCAGCTCGGCAAACCGTCTACAACTCGGCTCATGACGCTTCAGAATGGAACTAAATGACCTTTGGAGGAATTTATTAAAATTAGCCAGCGGGCTTAGAACAAGAACTAAATTTAGACGAGCCTGGATGTAATCCTCTGTTGAAAATGAACTCGCACGGCACAGCCATCTCATGTGATGTCTCATGTGGTTCTGGGTGCCTGTGTACACCGCTGCTAATAAACATGTCCGCCTTGTGCATCTCAGTTTGTCCAGTGATGCAAGGCGTGGACGCCACGGCCAAGCATTTCATCACTGCAGACACACCCAAATTAAGACTGTAAAGCCACCGACTAGGAGGTTTTTTCGGGAAACAGGCCAGTAAACAAATGCTGAGGCTGAAGTTGAGTTTGTATTTTAAGGAACGTCTTTAATTTCTTAAATTCCCTCGGAGTATTTAAGGCGGAGACAGAAAAGAGAGGGCTTAAAACCCAGATGAAAGATGGATGTGTAGCTTCCTTCAGTATTGTGAGTGATTAACTACATCACATTAGCCACCTGTTGCTTTCTGCAATCACCAGGAGCTCGACCAAAGAATTAAGATGAGTTGGACAGCCTAACTCAAAAAATAAAATAAAGCTTAATACCTGAACCCCGAATCCAAAATGAGTTGAAAAGGAAGCTTCGTGGACGAAGAGCAGGACCAGAAGGCAGAGAACGAAGGAGGAAGTTCGAACCATCTCTTCCGATCAGTCATGAAGGACAGCAGTCATCTCCCAGACTCCAGCGTCTCTTTTCGGCTTTCTATTGCGTGCTGTTTGCAAAGTTACGCAGTAAAAATTTAAAAACAATAATTTGTTTTATTTAGCCTGTCAAAGAAAAAAATATGTGCAATTTTTTTCAAAATCATATTTTCACTTTTATTCATACAGAAATACGTAATTTACCAGCTAAATATTCAGTTTACAAAATAAATATTTTCAAATTAAGTACTTAGTTAAAAAGCAAAATATTTAGTTCCCAAACAAATTGGAGCCAAATGTTTAGTTTTAAGCTAAATATTTAATTTCCAAATAACCATTTATTTAGCTAATTAAATATTTTGATCCAAATATATTTTTAATATGAAAACCAAGTTTCTAAATATTTAGCTTGCCACCTAAATATTTAATTTCAAACTAAATATTTAATATTAAAGCTACATAATTTCCAAACTAAATCAGCTTGCTAACGTGGTGAAATGACTGAAAAATGGAACACCCCCATGTTTTTCTCCGACAGGATAAATAAGCTAAATTAAATTAATTGCTGTTAATTTTTGACTGTGTAACTTGACAAAAGGCACCACACAGCTTTCTAACAATACAGCCGTGCAGCTTTAAAGAGAAACGGCTAAAGCAAATGAGGTGGATTAGTACTAAGTGCTTCCCAAAAGCTGATGGTGTCATCCAACACCCGCTGTCCTGTGAAATAGTCGACTTTCTTTAATGAAAATCACTAAACTGTAGAGTAGAAGGAGAACTACATGTTTTTCAGAAGTTCTACAAATGACAATCTCAAAAGTGGGAAAAAAGCAAATGTATACAATGCCCTTTACTTTGACACTGAAAAAATAAAATCCACTGCACGAGTCACCTGATTAGCAAACTGGAGTTCCTCTGAGTAATTCAATCTACGCATAAATCCAGCTGTCCTGTGAAGGTCTCAGAAAACAAACAAAATCATGAAGATCAAGAAACAAAGCAGACGGGTAAGGGATGAAGGTGTGGTGAAATCTAAAGCAGTTTTTAAAACATCCAAAGTTTCAGACATCATACTGAACAATGTTTAATCTGTCTTCGGAAAGTGAAGACCGCAAATGGAAACCGAGAAAACGTCATCCACTAAGGCAGGGGTGTAAAAACCTTTTGCCATGTGGTACCAAAATTGTAGAGTGCAAATTTATTAGTTTGACAAGAAAATCAAGCAAATTAGCCTCAATGATGAAATGATTTTGCAGATTTATCAAAAGAATGGCCTCCAGTTTTCAAATTCTTTTGGGTTTATTATTCTTATTCTCTGTCATAAAAACAGAATTTGAGTCAGTTTCTTTCAATATGCTTGCTATATTGGGGTTAGTAAATTAGATAAATGCCAATTTGGGTGCAGCAACGTCAGCTCTTCAGTGAAAGCCTCTGGATGGACTTGGTTCTACTTATTAGATAAGTTTGGTCGTAAAAATACGACTACTTTGTGTTGCACTCAACATTCTCCAAGACAAGAAAATTACATCAGCAATAGTTTGACCCAGAATAAAAATAAAAAGAAATTTGACTGAAGAGTTAATGGGGAGATGGATACTTCAGCAAGGCAGTGAGTAGGAGAGTTTAGCTTTGAAGATAAAATGGATCCCGGTGAAGAACAGCAGAAGGTTTATAGCCATGTCATGATTGGAAATAAATCTGGACTCCTGCAGTCCAGAACAAACCGACCCAAAATAAACCGGGTTTTAGTGAAGCCAGATAGACGAGCCTGAAGGAAGAGTCTTCTCTGAATACTAGCACCTGCATAGTTTATTCTCTTTCTAAAGCATCTCTCACAACATTGAAACAATTTGTTAGAGAATGGGAACATTTTAATGAACAAATGAGTTAATATATATATATATATATATTAAACAATAAAAACAATTATTCTGTGCAATGTTTTATTCTACAGTTTATCCAGAGTTAAAAGCCATTGATAAAAACAAAAAAAAAGAAACCTGGAAAAGGGAAGAAAAAAAAAGGAAGAATACAAATAAAATAACCATGAGTCCCTGGGTGAAGCTTCTGAAGCCACAAAGAGAATGAGTTTTCTTAAGCAAGAGGAATCCTGTAAGATATGAGAACCAGGCCATCTTGCTGATTAAATGGGCCGAGTAGAGCCAGAAAGCACCGACCAAAGACAGCCACGTAGTAAAACAGGGCCAGAGAACAGGAAGATGAGAAGTCCCCCCCCCAGAACCCCTGCAAACGCTGAACCATTAGCATTTTGTTCACCTCGGGCGAGGCAGTGGTGTGGCATGAAGTCAAAGTAGTGAGTGAGGCTGGTGACGACACACCACCGCCCTGCACACGTAGACTCAATCTGTGCCGAGTTTCAAAATCAAGTCCATGTGAAAAGAAACTGTTTTGTTTTTTTTGTTCTTATTTTTTTTCTTTTTACATATAATTTGTTCATTCATACTTTTCCATAGAATTCTGTATAGGCTATATAAAAGGCTCTATCTGAATTTCACATAAAGCAAACAACCAATGCGGGTGTCGTTTTTCCAAAGTCTATTTCCAAGGTCTGTTAGACTGCTGGGAAAGGGGGCCCTGCAGCTTTAAGTTCTCCTTTCCAAAAAAACCAAAAAAACAAAAAGCATTTTAACTTTGTGAGAAGATGACAGTCAGTCGAACTCCATCATCTGCTCTCAAATGTGATGACGGCCTCCATGCGAAGGTACGGACAGCAGACGGGTGAGTCTTTAGATCCTGAACGCAGTCACAAAAACATCTGGAGGGGTCTGAACCACGGGCCCCCTTAGCCCCCCAGCGCCTAAGCCGCCGGAGGGTCAATCTTCCAGCAGGTCCCTGTCCAGATCCATGAAGGGCTCGTCAATGTAACTCACAATGGCACAGCGAGAAGTTCTGTCAGAGCCCAGAAGTACTGACACCGTCTCCTTCCAGTAGCTGAACGGGATGCAGGAGCTCTGAGGGAGAGGAAGCAGAGAATATTTACTTCTGTTTGTTCTACAGCCTTAAATAGGGAGGTAATTTTGTTGAGCTGGAACGGTTAAAACTAAATTAGCTGCTGCTAAACATCAATCTTATGTTTAAGACGAACAGTGTTACTCTGAAAGGGTCATTGATCATTTTCTGCCACTTGGGGGCAGCAGTAAGATAGAAAAGTCCACAAGAGAGCCATCTTTTTTTTTTCCCTTTAAGATTATTTTTTGATTATTATTATTGTTGTTGTTACAGAAACATGTATAAAAGTAAATAAATGGCTCCTTTCAATTTTTACATCCAGTTCATCCTGGCAAAATTAGCATTCGGTCACAATCCTGTAATTACTTTGACTTTTTCTAAACATAACATTTTTATCACAGCATTAACTCCTGGGTTGATCTTTAAGGGTGTCCAAACTTTTCAAACAGTGGACCAGATTTAAATTCTGTATTTATTTAGTACAATTCTCATTCACCATCATGTTTCATTTTCTTGTTTTCTGTATTTATAACTACAGAATATGAAAAAATAAGTTAAAAAAAAAAACTGAACTAAGATTGAAATAAAATGGCAAGTTAAATAATAGAGATAATCTAAAAGTTATACTGTCCTACTATTTGTGTTACAATTTTTAGATGCAATATTTGGTTGGCATATTAATTACTTTAACCATTTATTTCTTTCAATATCTATTACCAATTTTGGCAGCATCAGTACTCCGTTCCTGACTTCAGTACAGAAAATATGAAACTAACAAAAAACAAACAAAACGGAAAGAAAAAAACAAGGAAAAAAAATAAAAATAAATAATAAATCGACATTTTTAGGTGTGGCAGAGGGCTAAAAATACCAACGGTAAATGAGGAATATTAATGTGGAAAAAGTAATTAAAAAGAGACCTGGATCTACTCCAAGGTGTTAGCTTGGTCCAATAAAAACATTTTTAATGATCAATCAGCTACACTACAACTTACTCATCATGCAATTTGCAAGATCAACTTTAAAAAAAAAATTACTCAAGTTGAATTGCGTTTTGAGTGATTATCAACAAGTCAGATCAAAACAGAGAAAATCTAACCAAAGACTTCAGCAAAACCGGACTTCATCAGATTGTAGGTGTTCATGTTGAGTCACATTTATTTTTTAGAGATGTGTAGTTGTACTGAAGAAACTACTGATGGGACTAAATATTTGTCACTGAAGAGAAAAGCGATATTGTAGAGTCTGAGATGTCAGTAAGGAGTAAATGAACACATTACTAGTGTAGATCATGCAGTGTGTTAATTTACTGCAATTTATTTTTGTGTTGAAAAAAAAAAATTATTTAAAGCAACTGAGTTTTTAACTATATGAATGGCATTAAAGCCTAACTTAAGTAAAACAAGTAAATACAAAAAAAATCTACACACATTTGGACAAAACATTTATTAGTCTAAACTAGCAGGCTAGTTTAGCCCACACAAAGATCCGACTTGTGAATGAGTTTCTTATGTCTTAAATTAATGGCACCAATGTCATACTCTCTTTTCAACCTAAGGGACTTGTTTTAGTTTTGTTCAAATGTGTGGAGAATTTTTTAGCCAACTACAAAAAAAAAAAAAAAAAAGACCACTATTTACAAGTGGTAGGAGTTGTAAATAGAAAAAGAACATGTTCTGTTTGTCCATTTAGTCCTCTAAGTTTAGACTTATAAATTCAGTGTTGCAACTAATACTAAACTTTTTAAAGTAATGTTTTTTGGTATCTGGCTGCTGACAGGCTGCTAAAATCAAACCGAATTGTGATAAATTGCACTTAAATTTTCCTTTCAGTTTGTGGCTAAAATCTGCTTATGAAGTCACTTAAACTAATTTTTAACAATCAAACCTAAATCTGCCACGTCAGGAAATCAAAAATAGTAATTCGTCATAAACCTGACTAATTATGATTCCTCCGATGATCTTCTGGTGTGACACTAGAAGTATTTGTTGTATTTAGGGCTGTCACAGTAACCAATGTTTCTGGACAATTAATCGTCTCAGGAGTCATCGTGATAGACGATAATATTGTTTTGAGACAATTTG